CACGAGCGAATAGTTCTTCACTGTGCTTCGCTGTGCTAGTTCTCGGCGTGTATCACACCATTTTCTTGATGGGGTTTTATATCAATGGCATGCCTTCTTTGCTACTCTCTTTCTCTCTCTTTTTTTGTCTGTCTGTCTGTCTCTCTTTCTCTCTTTCTCTCTCTTTGTCTCTTTCTCTTTCTCCTCGTACGAGGATTGTTGCAAGAACCGATAGATCGCTCTGATTTAACACGCAGTATCGATCGGTATGTAGAAACCGAGCGTGCGTTGATGAACTCGCGGATCTGCAATAGATTGGTGACCCTGGCGTGCATCCGACGATAGGAAAGAGTTCGTGAGCGCGACGGCATCCGTAAGTGATCGATGATCGATGATCAGATCGTCGAATCGACGGGAACGATGAACGACTGTGCGCACGGAATTTCTTTGTCCCCCGAGCGGAGACGCGGCTTCAAAACTTCAGCATGCGAACTGATAAAGAGGATGCAATTTGCATTCCCGCGCGGCTTTCGTGACCTTTGCGCTCCGATAATGATACGCGGAAAAAGTCGGTCGAATTTCCTCTCTTCAGTTTCAAGAGAGAGCTCCGTCGGAATTTCATCTTTGAAAATGTTGCCTAGATAGATAGGTGCACGTAAACTAGGCAGCATCTTCATTAATAGATTTTTAAAGGTTACGTCCCTTATGCTCACATGGCACACATATTTATCATATAAATGACGAAATAGAAATACGAAAGTAATATGAAAAAAATAATCAAAATTTGCATAAAGCGATATGTCATAGAAAACGTAATGCACTAAAAAAAAGATCGGTTAAAGCAACTAGAATCAAATTAACCAAACTCAATTTCGAGGTTGTATATGACGAATTAATTGCCGTAATTCTTTCAGCATAATTTTGATTTGTACTTGTTCATCTCTTATTTGATACAAATCAAACGAGCTAAATATTCAACAAAATTGAGTAATTGAAATGTTGATTTGATTATCACGCAAAGTAATAGTAACCAAATGAGTTGTCAACTGTAGTAGCGAGTGAGAGGTATAACTCAACTTTTCTCCCGAGTTGAATGAACTACATGCATTATCAAAGAGAATAATGTAATATTTCATTAAATTTTTCCTTTATGTGATATGTACCATGATAGAACGTTGATTTAAATAGTTTATTATTCAATAGTTTGTCAATGAAGTTTACAAGTATATTCAAGACTTATCTAATTTATTATTAAAAAAATATTAATACACAATGAGAAAACATAATAGCTGACAACATCGAAGGTGTTAGTAGAAAACTCCAAAAAGGGCAGACATATACAGCCTAGTTTCAGGCAGTACACACGGCCGCATATCATATAAAGCTTTAAATGGTAAAACGTACTCGCTTATATCTCATCGTAACGAAAATTTATCTGCGAACAAACGAAATACTGATGCAGCTTATCGATGGCCCTCTGAGATGTATCTGAACCCTGCACGGAGAAAAAGGTTTGGTTGAATTAATCAAATATCTGGTCGAATATGAACGATCCAAAAATTCCGATTGAAGTAACTCGAATTCTGTTTAAGTCAACCAAACATTTTGTTAACTTAAACAGAATTCGGGTTACTTCAATCGGAATTTCTGAATCGTTTATATTCGACCAAATATTTGGTTAATTCAACCAAATCTTTTTTTCCGTGTGTATATTGTAATCAGAGTTGAGAAATAATGCGTTACTTGTAACACCGTTACTTTTTCTCAATAGGGATTGTTATTTTTTTCTGTTTGTAATTGTAACCATTTTCAGTAACAAATTCAATATTTACTTTTATCGTTACTTTAGTTATTGTTATTCAATAGATGGATGCACTAGTCGCACACTGATGATACTCGCGCAACGTGTATTAGATATTCTTGATTGGATAGAAATATCTTGATATTCGCTGGGAGACAGTACGTGATTTTATTTTATTCTTCATATATTAATAATTGTTAGTGCAAAATCGAATTTTGCAATTTAGTTAAAAATTTTTATTAAATTAACAATAGGTATGTTTAGTGTAGTTCACTCTTTTGTAAGAAACAAGTGTATATTACACTAAACACATATCTATTATTAAATTTATTAAAAATTTTTAAGAGCTAAGTTACAAAATCTGGTTCTATACCGGCAATAATTTTTGTGTGAAAAATAACAAAGATAAGAAGATAGAATTAAGCTCATAAAGAAAAATTTGGTTAGGATTATTGCAGTTTTGAATGTTTTCTTTTTAGATGAACTAGCTACATTAAAAATAATAATTTAATGAAAACAATAATTTCATTTTTAAAATTAATTACATATTTTATTTTAATATTATAAAAAAAAATAACAAACTGTTACTTTCTTAGTAACGGTAACGAATTTTTTCAAAATTAATAACGAATTATTTTTTATGAAAAATAACCATAACGGTAACGTGTTACTTTTTTGAAATAACGTTTTTAACTCTGATTGTCAGGTTATTTAATCATCTTAGGGGATATCAAAGTGGACGACGAACTTGAAAAATAATGTAAAGGTTATCGTCACTAACATGATTATACTATCTTTTTCGTATTTCTTGTACATATATTGTACAATTGGCGTCAGAAAGGTATTTTGTGACTTTCGATATGCATCTGTCTTGTTCAATATAAAAATTCGTTAGTCAATAAGAGAATTTTTCCCCTGAGCATAAGATGAATTCGTTTCGAAAGTCACAAAACAAAATTTTCCACATCGGACAATCTTTGCCGACGCCAATTGTACATATTTTAATCTCATATAAATGTGTCTTGCTTTTTTTACAATGCTAGCAGAAAATATAACCATGCATATATAGAAATCTTTCTGCAAACTTTTTGTATGCTTTTGAGCTTCTATATTGAGTTGTAAAAATACAGAAATATTTTTCGAATTTTTTGTTAGCAGAGGAAATAAATACGATAAGCTACAAAACTTTTATATCAAGTAAATATTTATGCCAACTGACAGCTCGAGATGTCAATTTAAAAATTTTTTTATCGTTTTGGACTTTAGTTTATTATTGCATGTATTTTTAATGCGTAAAAATATTTATAATTATATGTAACCAATATACGACGTAAATTATGCAGAAAAAGACCAGTATTTGTAAAATTTTCAAATATGGCTTTCTCCTTAGGAAATTGTAGTAATGATTTTCTGTAATTAAATCAATCTTGCAAACATCTAGTTATCAGAGTCATTAGTTTAACGTACTTATCGTCTGATTTAATTAAATTGATTCCATCCAAAGATAGTATTACTTACATTACACAGTTTGATTAACTTTTTTCATAGTTGAAAGAACATTTATAGCGTTTATATAACTACATTTCGATTCTATTAACTTTTTACTTTTGACTAAATTTTTTAGTTGAAAATTACTACATTAGATTGTTGAGTAAAGTTAATTTTTATTCAATTTTATCTCATTAATACAATCAACTTTGCTCAACTTAAAAACTTTTTTGTTTTATCCGATCTTTTTTCTTTAGTGTATAAAAATTTGAGTGTAACTTTTAGTAAATTTATTGCTACAATATAACAAAAAATTTACATCATTGTACGATGTAAAAAAATTTAATTTAATTTAAATTAATTCTATAATTACTTCAGCAATGCAAATAAAAGAATTGTAAAGTTTCCGTCATTGATTGTTTCACGTCGTGATAATTATAAAAGTCTATTTGAGCGACTGAGAGGTTGCAAATTAACCGCGATCCGTCCTCGAAATTTGTGAAAAGAGAAAGCAACGAACGCATCTCATTCGAGTGATTTCTTATCATTTAAAGTACAACGCTGCCCCAGATTGATTTCCGACTACATCTATAGACTTTAGAGTAGTGCTTCAACCATCCCTTGTCACTGATCTGTGCTACTTAGACGCGATCGCTTTCTACATGTAGTCTTCGAATTACGAATTACACTATAAAAAGGACGCCATGAACCTCGAACAATAAAAACTCGCGGAAGGAAGCCGTTTTCTAAGCAAGTGAAATAGTTGTGTTGTTCATCTATCGACAAAATTCCACTTTTGCAGGTCCAGCAATGAAACGTGCGCTAAATACATAAAGCTAAAAAAACAAGGCGATCGAGGCGATTGCTTCGAACGAAATTAGTCGCGTTAATTTGCTACATATTCTGACGAAAGAAATTTTTAATAACTAGATTATTGCAAATTGCATTAACACACATAAAGTTAATTCATTTTCAATTTTTTTATTATTCTACAAGATTTCTTAATACTAGAACTACTAAATCATTTTAAAAGTCAGGTTTGTACTTTCTTGTAAAAATTATTCAAATTTATAACGATGCACTTTATAGTTTTGATTTGACGTTAAATTGAACTAAATCTATTTTTTACAATGAAAATAATATTTATTAATCATAATAAATCAATATTTTTCCCTTGCATTACATATTTTTGGAAAAATATATTTCTTTGACTATTCTAATAAAAATAAGCCGCTGAACTAGTGAATTCCGAGGTTCGAGTTTTTATGGATTGTCTCGTGCGGAACGTCCTTTGCAAATATCCACGCGATATTCTTATAAACGTGAATACGTCGAATGCCAATTGCGAGGAGGAATTAAGCAAACCTTAGTCACTCGCCGTCAAACCGCGATATGGATCTGTGCTGATAGAATTGAACAGCTTCTCTGCCTTGCAATTTTTTCAATCTCGTCGCTGCGACAGACAGCGTGGTAAAAATAATATACATTAACTTAGTCCGGTCAATTATCAGTGCCGATAACGAACCAGTAGTTTTCATCCCTCGTTAGTACAATATATATATATATATATATATATATATATATATATATATATATATATATATATATATATATATATAAAATCGTAAATGTCAAGTGGTCCCGAAAACGACAACAGAAAAATTGCCCAAAAGTCTCTCCCGATAAAAACATGATTACGGATACGAGTGACGTGTGTATGGCGTATGCGCAGGCGCGGAAAAAGCGGCAGGAAGAGGTGGAGAAGATCCGACTGGAAGAACAACAAAGGAAGCAACAGGTAATTCAACAATAGTTATTATATCCGTTACATATCGGTACTTTGTTAATACCATTGCGTGCGTGCGCGCCATTTTTCTCGAATCTGCCCTGCGAAATATATGTTTCTCACAAGAGGATTACCAAACGAACGAACGGGACCATTCATACCACATATACCCCACTTAATTTCTTACTGCAATTGTATTAAAAAATTTTAATTCTTTAGGAGCGAGAGCTGAAAAGGCAGCAAGCGGTGATGCTAAAGGAGCAGGTGAGTTTACGTTGAATTAAAAACGAACCGTTTTATTCTCTCGAGTCGATCATGTCGTCATAGTAGATTAGCGCGTGTTTTTTTGCGTATAAGTGTGCGTGTGAGAGTGTCTCTCTCTCTCTCTCTCGTAGACTTTAGAAATATTCTGTTTTTCTTTCTTTCTTTTTTTTTATTATTATTATTACTCGATTGTTTTTTTTTACTCCTATTGGTCTCTTTCGTTTTGTTTTTCGTTTATCTTTACAGTGTTGTGAAATCGAATCGATTCTCTATCTTACGTAGAAAAGGAATGAAGGAATAAAGGAGATTCTGTTTGATTTGGAGTGTATGTAGAACGTAGATTTCAAACATTACGAACACGTGTTTATTATGAGGTGAAATCCTTTTGGATTCGTTTTTTTGGATTCGTTAGTTATCTCGCGATCGGTACGGCATTTGATAGATTCAGCCGATTATTCAAGTCGTAGAACATTCTCACTTCTGTTTAATGAACGAAACCTTAGCGCTTCATTGTACAAAATAAATTGTATTACAAAATGTACGTGTGTACAAAATAATTTATTATTTTATATTATTCAATATTCACGAAGAAATGTACTTGCTGATGCGATTAATATATTATTTTCGGGGGAGTGTAATTCATCGCATATCATGCGCAGGATGTCTCATCTTCATCGTGATAAGTTCCAACAGTTGTAATCTGCAAAATTTATTGCACTTAGGTTTGAATGAAAAGTGTGACAAAAGCACTCTCTAGAGAACACTTTTTCTGTGTGCTTATTTATTTATTTACTGTAAATAAATATATGTTCCTCGTTCAATTATATATATATATATATTTTTTTTTTTTCGTTTAATTTGATCAAGGAGGTTGTAAGGTTCAGTGTATTTTCATTGCGCATCAAGGAGACCACTCATAAACTCATATTTATCGAACAAAATTACATTTCTATACATTTCTTTCGTTATATAAGCAATAAATATTAATTTTAGACAAAGTTGAGATATAAATACACAATATTACAAGTACAAAATTTTTATTTTTCTTATTAATGCTCCATTTGTACATCACTTGATCTAGTAGAAATGTACAGATATATGCATCTCTTGAATATTACTATAAATATATAATATTACTATAAATTATGAATTTTCTATTGTATTTTCCAAACAAAACAGCCAACAATCTCGAAATTTGTGTATAATGTCGGTATATTAGTCTATTATCACAGAAGTTTTTCGTTAAAATTCTAATTTTGATTTATAAGAAATTAAAAGTAGGAATTAAAAATATAATTACAAAATGCATTTATACAACTCTAAGGAATACGTAAAAAGTGTCAATTTTAGTTTGAAATATCTCAACTCTCTAATAGCCAATGTTTTTCTAATTGTACGAGCAGTTAGATACTATTTCCATTTATATGTCATGCAAGTTTCAATAAATGCTTAATAAACTTATTTTGCCTTACAACTTCCTTAAATTAAGTAAACAGTTTACACGACTAAAATTTAAAATTTTAAAGGTTCACATATAGTTCAATTTAACTCGCGAGCTTGTTTCAAGAGAAATCGGTATTCCGTATTCGTTGAGCAATTTATTAGGGGATCTAAAGGGGATGAAAATGAGACAACCAGCAGCCACACCCATCATTTGGCGCTTTATCTTGAAATCGGCAAGAATCAGTTCAACATATAATGCTTTCCCATGCAAAACCAACAAAAAAGAATCCTGTCGCGAGTGGATTGCGCAAAATATCGCGTTGTCTTAAGTTCGCAACACGATTTTAACACGGGGTGGCAGACAGATAGTCGATAAGTAGAGAACATCTTAATGCGTAAGGGAGCGAGAAAGACTGTGAGATTGTGCGTGGCGGTTTTGAGCACTAGTGGATTGTGGATGTATTTTGTGCTGCAGATGTACATGCAGGAGCTCACCAAGCAGCGCGAGATGCTCTACACCGTCGAGCTGGTATGTCTCATACCCAATCTAGCATCTAACACAAATCATATAATATAACAAACGAATCAGTGAACCGACGCACAACCAACTAACTCGCACGGTCATGTATCTATCGGTCTCTGTATTTCGCAAAGGTGCAGCGTGCACTCGCTGCGAACGATTTTTCTCAGCTTAGTATTTCGCATTTCATGAAGGATATATTGCCCATATAGTTCTTGCCAAAAGTTGCTGGAAATTCGAACTACGTTAATATTTCTATTTCTTGTATAAAAATGTATATAAAGCACGATAGAATTAAATAACCAATCGATAAATATTTGTTTTGTTATTTCTGATTTTCAAAATTTTATCTCAATAAGACTTTGCATATATCAGTTAAAATAAAAAGTACAAACATATACAAAACTAATGTCTCTAATATCAATAATATATTTTTTGCTGGACTTACACTTCCAGGTGGAGTAACTTTTGATAGATCCAGACTCTGAATCAATGTTAAATTTTTTTTCAAATTTTTGTAAATTATTTTCATTATTTTTTAGGTATGGGTAATATGTCCTCACTCTTAAAACTTCTATTTCTTCGCCGCGGTCGCCTTGGTTAATAACGTCAGAAGCGTGAAAATACTAAAATTTTTTATCACAATATGTTAAAATAAAAAGATTTAAATTGCAATCTTACAATCGAACAGATCTGTAAAATAGTTTAAACATTTTGCTTTTTTTTATATATATATATATATATATATATATATATATATATATATAACAACAAACACACACACAAACACATACATACATACACATAAGGTGGCCCACGTAAAGTGTGACAACCCAAAAACTGTAAAAAATATTTGTCGTATCAAAAAATTGTTCATGAGAAAGTTCCATATATTCGAGTGATTTTTCTAATTACGTAAACAAAAATTCGCCCCCGCTTCCAGAAGGACGGCAGGTGGTAATTTCGTAATTTCAAACGATCTCCTATATCTGCTATAAAACGTTACATATTTGGATTCTACGAGAAAAAACAAGTAAACTTTTCTAAAATATTTCTTTGAAAAATGCTTATATCAAAACTTATTAACATTCAAATTTTAAAGCAGAGTACATTCAAACTAATGATCTTTGGATTATTTTTTATGATGATATATTAAAGAGAATATCATGTTTCAACCACCTACGACGAAGGAAGACTTAAAACGAAGAATACGTGAAGTTTGCGCTAGCGTGATCTTAGATGTTGTTTACACAAAATTTTGGAGAAAGAATTAATAAGTGTTTAAATGTGAATGGTCGATAATTCAAACATTTAATAAATAAAATAAATAAAATAAAAAAATTAATTAAATTAAATAATAAAATTAAAAAACAGAAAAGCTATGAAGTTTTTATTTAATTTATGGCTTGAATTTTTGTTTAGTCAAAAAGACGTCTTGAATATATGAAACTTTCTCATGAACAACTTTTTTACAATTTTTAGATTATCACACTTTATGTGGGCTATTCTGTATACAGGATATTTCAAAAGTTGAGGTCAATCGCGCAGAAGATGATTGGTGATTACAGTAGATGAGCGTAAATGAGTGTATAATAGATGAGCTGTAGTAGAACTGTCTGTCGTTAGATACTTATACATTAGATCAAACTGCACAAAAAAATCCTCTACTATTTTTCAAATGACCACATAGATTTTTAAATATTAATTAAAGAAGATCTGTACATTATCGCGCACAATTATGTAACAATTTTCTTTCATTAATAACTACAAATCTATGTATTTATTTGCAAAATGATAAAAAGCTTTTTTATTCAATTTGACCTTAAATGTATATAACAGCACACATTGCCACTACAGCTCATCTACATATCGTATGTGATCATTCATCAATCTTCTTTAATTAATTATTATCGTAAATAAATTTATTACCGTAAATTAACGCTATCTACTTTTTCAATGCATTTTTTCTCATGACTTAGTCACGTTCATTTAACAATTATATATTTAGTATTATAGCAAAAAGAAAATTTTTGGAATTTTATTCTATAGATTTACTTAATCAATTGTCTTATTTTATGAATATAAAATTTTATTTTTATTTGAACGTTCCCAGATAGATATGCGTAAATTTGATAGCAATTTTATTAGTCGTTTCGTAAAGATTTGTTTATATGGAATTCATATTTATCTAATATAAATATAATTCATATTTATCTAATCTAATATAAAGTGATGAAATAGAAATATAAAAGAAAAAATAATCAAAATTTGCTTCAGACAATATATTATGCAAAATACAACATGAAAACCTGACTGTAACCAATTTGTTGCTGCATTAATGTAATAAAAGTTTATGTTATTTTATGATATAAATTTAATGATTAATGCAATATTATATTTGCCTCATAAATGTAATCTACAAAATTGTAGAGTTTCTATTATCGGTTGTTTCATTTTGTGATAATCATGAAAATTGATCTAAGTATTTTGCAAGAATTTTAAGCGTGTACTTTTTTGCTTCTGACGTCATCCATCGAGAGAGAACTACGGCAAAGCATCAGAAGTTTTGAGTTCCATTCGAGGAGGTTTATGAAATCTGTAATGAGCACATGTCACGATCTATCTGAATGTATATCAATATATCGTTGTTGTATCGTTATTGCATTTACTTTCGTCCATACAACGCAACAAATCGACTAATTATTTAATCTAACATTCGCTTCAGCTTCCACAATCATTACATGATTCGCAGGCTTGCGTTCCGCAAAGACACATTCTCTCGCTTGATATTATTATCATTAGCAGACGATCGAGAACTTCGCTCTCTCGCTCGTCTTCTTTCGAGACTCCCGAAAACGCGATCGTAAGGATTGATCCGACCGCCAATAGCGTTTCGGATATTTCGATTAATTAGTAATTAGATCTGGTTTTGCTAAAGACTGCACGATTTTTCTCATTTCATTTTGCGTGAAATAAATCGCAATTTTTGCGACGACACGCCGAATTACTCTCCTATGACTATATCAGTGCATCCATTTGACAATACTGCTGCTCGTAATGTGTAGTGCGTGAAAGAGTATTTGGGACGACGGTTGTAGAATTTGTCCGTGCATATTACAGATACAGATTGGAAAATCACAAAGAAACTGCTTCTCAAAATTGATATCTTAAACAAATCTTGAAAATCTTGAAAAAATTAATTTCTTCAAACGTCTTATATTTTAGTTATACGATGAGTAATTGTATAATATATGATTGGCAGAATTTTTATATATCTATAATTTTATAAAAATAAAATTGAAAAATTAATTGTAAGAATAGACAAGTGCAACACTCAAATGGTGAAAAGACGAAACTGCTGGATAATTCCTATAAGCTATAACTGTTATATAATTCGCCTTAAGAAAGTATATTATTTCTTTTTTAAGTTTTATATTACAATTTCAACAGTTTTTTTGCCTTTGAATTTCCAAAGAACGAAAATCAGCTTGTATTCTTATATGTAACTGTATTAAGAATGTTGTTATTAGATTGGTGCAAAATGTTTGTCATTTTTCTCTTAAATCTCGTAAAAAGTTTGAATATTAAAAGGATTATAAGAGTTAATAAGAGTTTGCTACCAACGTTATATATGCGTGACAGCAAAAATTTTGTTTATATCATTTTATTGATTTAATTTTTGTTTATATTATTGAACTAAGTTCGTTTTAAACAATTATCTAAAAAAAATATGACGTGGTTTATGAAAAGAATCTTACAAACAAATCGTTCTAGTAAATGTGTTAAACGTTAAAAAAAGAATACCGAGTCAATGTTATGCATTTCATCTGTAAAATTATTAATCCTTTAAAACTGGATAATTTTACATTTTCTATTTTTTTTTTCTTTATAAACACGATATACCAACCACTTTTGCATTATTCTGATATTATAACTAGAGTTAATTATGCGATTTTTGATCATATGCGCATAAGACTGAAAATCATATAATTCTCGATCTATGGAATGCTAAAGCATATACAGGGTGTCCCGCGTAAGACGGACCAAAAGAAAAATATAAGTAGAACACATAAAAGTGAACAAAAATTGTATAGGTCATTTTTCAAACAACCACGTAAAATTTCGAGATATTAATTAAAATAGTTGTACAAATTAGAACGCGCGATGCGACAGGCGGGACATACGGCTCGCAGCGGTCGGCGAAGAAAATGGAAAAACGCACACGTACACGGACGCACACACGGAGCTACTCATTTCAGTATGCCAAACGGCCCACCTCTCTGGCCTATAAGATAGGCCCGCAAGCAATCATCCATTTTCTTCGCCGCGGCGAGCCGTATGCCGCGCTCTGATATGCTCAACTATTTTAATTAATATCTCGAAATTTTACGTGGTTGTTTGAAAAATGGCTTATATAATTTGTGTTCACTTTAATGTTGTTCTATTTATATTTTTCTTTTGGTCCGTCTTATACGCGGGACACCCTGTATACATGACGCTAACCGTAAACGTGTAAGATTCTAAACGGGGTTAAGATGTCTGTTGTAACTTTTGCGCATTACAATGACTGTTTCGATTGAAGAGATCGAGGCAAAATGCTATACATTTCCGAATTTTGAAGTTATAATTTTTTAAATAAATAATTATAGCGACCGACTGCACAGACATGATAGAGACAACTTTCTTTATGTTTTTATGCCAGCAAAACGATCTATAAAACCTATATTTCCTGTAATAAAAACCAATAACATTTTTTTATAAAAAATATGAAAAAGTATAAAAGCATATTTTTCTAATAGCCAGAATGTAATAATTTTTGTGAATGTAGTAATTTTTATTCACATTAACATAAGATCAATTTTACTTTGTCTGTTCATATATTCTATTTAAATTATCTTATGAATATGAATATTATTTTTATTATTTGAAACATTGTATACTTACAGAAAACTTCATTCTAATTAATAATAACATGTCACTTAAGTTTACTTCTGCATGATGAAGAATATTATAACACAAAACATTAGGACAGTCAAAAATATACCCAGCAGCTTTTAAATCATTTTTTTATGTTTTAAATGTCATATTATTCCAATTTTAATGATTCACGAAAAAGTACTTATATTTTAACAAGAGCATTGTGCCATTTTACTATTTTTCTCATAATAAATACATAAATAAAATATATGGCCAACATAACTCGTGGTCTGTCCTACTTGTATATGTGTAGAAGCAAAAGCTTTATGCGATTTTCCGTCTGATACAGGAAACCGGGGCTAATTGGCTGCCGGGGCAAAATTGGCAAGACTGATTATTTCTATTTTTTTTAACTATTATTATTACTATTTTTTTACAGAATTAAATTACAGGATTAAACAAGCAAAATTTTTAAACATGTCAGAAATAGCTTTGAAGTATATGCTTGCTGAATTCTGAAATCTGTTAAAGAACAGCAGAAATAATCGATTTTGTCAATCCCGGTAGTCAACTAGCCCCGATTTCCTTTACATATTGCACTTTCCCGGCGATCGGCAATACAAACGGAAAACCTATGTAGCATAATATAAATTCGTCCTGTCATGCGATCTAGTCCTGATTCAGCGCTATCTGCATGAGCCGCACGCCATTAAGTTCTGTTAAACTGATGACGTAACGATGCAATGATAAATCGCAGGAGCGAGAGCGGAGGAGACAGCACATGGCTCTCGTGCGGGCGCTGGAGAACCGTCGGAAGATGGAGGAAAAGGAGAAGAAGCGCCTGGAGGCGCGCGCCGAGAGAATAGCGACGAAGGAGAAGCGAGCGGAACAGAGGAGAGTCGAGATGGAGCTGATCGAACAAATCCGCAAGCCCGTGGAGGATATGGAGCTGACAGGTAGGCGAACAAAAGGCGACGGTGATCGATCCTGCTTTGCACGCGAGATCAGAGTGAGAAAGAATGAGAGGGAGTGAAAGAGAGAAGGAAAGGGGAGAGAAAGAGAATACATCAGCCATTATCGCATCGCGTAACAGTAAATCGAAAATTTGAGTCTATAAATTATTTGTGCATCTTCTAATAAGCGTATCCGTCTTTCACAGATCACAGACCACTGCCAGAAGTCAAAAGAATACCCGGTCTTAAGCTCTCTGGGCAAGCGTTCGCAGACATCGTCATGGTCTTCGAGTTTCTGCATAATTTCGGGGAAACTTTAGGATTCGGTGAGGACCATCAGTCATTTCTAACTCATTCAAATAAAGATTATTTATGGTTTTGCTGATCGTCGCCACTTCTTTTCAGACATGGAGTCACTACCAAGCCTAAAGAGTTTACAGCTCGCTCTACTCAACGACGAGGAGGCTGAGGAAGAAATGCTGTCGGTCATGACGCATCTGTTAGTGTGCGCTATTGAAGATCCGGGAATCCCGCAGCCGGCCAGACACACCACAGGTTTAGGCCAGAGTCTGCGCCAAGCCGATATCACTCACGCCAACATCAGCGAAGTCTTGCGAATCTATCTGTACGCGAACGCGACCGGCGAAGTGAAGGCACTGACGGGAGTTTGTCTTGAGCGTGAGCGCGACAAGAAGTTCGCCGATCATCATCAGAACGGCGGTGACTATGCCTCAACGTGTTCGGGGAAGAACGCGCAGTTCTATGAACATTTGCATAACAACGAAACGTGGAAGATGTCGGAGAGATTGCGCGACAAGCCTTTCTTGGCGCTGAATCCAACGCATAAGGCGCAGATGCTCGCTTTTCTGTGCAACGAGCTGCTGCAAAACAAGGCTGTGATCAGGCAGATAGAAGGTAGCCTCGAGACGGTGGCTCAACTGAGAAAGGAGAGATTCGTGTTGGACACAAAGATCAGAAAGTAAGTTGCATGATTTGGTAGAAACGGCTCTTTTGAAAATAAAATTTATTGAAATTCTTAAGTTATTAAAATTATTTAAATTTAAGAGTTTTTTGTATTGAAGATTTTACGGGGTCCAAATGCATGTAAAATAACTCCATTAAAAATATGTCACGATTACAGATTAAATTTTATATTCATATAGATTGAGACAATTGCACAGTCGAAAAGTGCGAATGGAAGCTGTGGGTGTCGTCGTGAACAAAATCGGCGACACGATCACTATCGAGAAAAAAGAGGGCGACGAGGAAGGTAATACTACATCAACCGCCGTAGGCACGACCCCTACGCCAGATGAAATTCACCACGAGGACGAAGTAGAGGACATGTCTGAAAACGAGAGCGAGGGTACTCAGCCGGAAGAGGTACGTATGATTGATTTGAATATTTTATCTGGTACCATTAAAGTATATACTAAATAATAATTTAATTATAATAAATATTAGTTTGTTGCAAAAAGTTGGTTGTATGAAATAAAGTAGAAAGCGAAAATAAGATAATAAAATGTAAAAAAAAAAAATAGAAAATGAATTTATCTAATGTTGTAAAAAGTTAATAATATTTATGAAATAAACACTATTAACTCGGTATTTTTTTAGATATCTAACGAGGACTTTCTATTTTGTTTTTGATGTCTGTGAGAATTTAAAAATAAAAGATATTTTATTCTTATGAGAAAAATAAAAAAATGTTTTGCAGCAATCTAATAACATAATTAATATAATATATTTAATTATAATATCTGCAGGAGGAAGATAAGAATCTGTCAGGTGAGGAATTGGGCAAGAAGTTGGACAAATTGTTGAAGCAATCGGAGGAACAGCTGCAGAAACTGAATCATTCCTCGAAGCAGCTGCGGGCGCACATTTTCGGTCAGGACAGGTATTGGAGGAGATATTGGGAGCTGGCATGCGCCGGTGGTATTTTCGTGGAGGCCATGGAGAGCGCCGAGCCGGAAGTTCTCGAACTTCAAGCCGAATTGGACGAGAAGTACAAAAACATGCCGGTGGAAGAGAAATCCGAGAGTGTGAAGCAGGAGGACACTAAGACGAACACTGAGAATCGCGAGAACGAGGCACCTAACTCCGAGGTAAAAGAGGAGAAGAAGCATAACTCGAGCGAGCAGAATGAGAACGTGAAGTCTCACAGTGACAAGGAGAAGCCGGAAGAGATCAACTGCAAGAAGGAGCCTGTGCAGAATTGCAGCACTGAGAATTCGAAGAATACAAAGGAAATGAGCGAAAAGAGGAACGATGTAGACAGCACGATGACGGACGCAAAAACGAATGTCACCTCGGAGGAGATCAAGCAAGAGACCGAGGTGGTTAACATGGATGTCGAGGTGAAGATCGAGGAAGTGAAAAAGGAGAACGAGGAAACGGACGAGGAGACAACAAAGCCTGTGGTGGTGAAGACGATGGAAGATAAAATCGTCGAGACTATACCGAACGGCGAAAAATACAATCATGTAAACAATCTACACAATGGGAAAGAGCTCAACGGCACCTTTGTCTCTAGTGAGTTTTCGCGGGATCTTCACCAACAGGATGGACAGTCGAATATTCTCAATTAACATTAGTCATGTCCATCATTTCAGACAGTAACACCGAACCCAATTGGTTCTCTATCTTGCCGCGTGAGACCTGTGACACTCCGGGACCCAGTACCAAGCAGATTTTCGGCATTGCAGAGCCGACCGAGCTTCGAATTCCCGTGTTCCCGCCGCCAGCTAGTCCGAATTATGACAGGTGTGACAGTCCAGCGCCTCTGATTCTCACGCAAGACGAGGCCGCGCAGTTGGAGTATTTGAAGGTGCATGGTTTACCGCCTCCTGGCGAAGCCAAACCGGTACCGAAAGGTAAATCAATTTGTACATGTGAAAGTAAAAGAAATATTAGGTTGGTGCAAAAAATTTGTCATTTTTCTATTAAATTTTCACAAGAAGTTTGAGTATTAAAAGGAAATTGAAAAGTAAACAAAGAGAGAGACGTTCAAGGTTCTCAAGTAGTCAATTATTAAGAATTAATTCAGATCAATAAGAACTGCGCAAAGATATTGGTAGCGAATAATTTCTTGCGCAAGGATAATAAACAAAAAAACTTCGTTAGAAGTTTAAAAATACTAAGTCAATGTTGTTAATTTTATTAATGAAAGTTAATAATCCCCTTTAAAATTAAATAATTCCGTTTTCTATTTCATTTGACAAACACGACAAATCTAATGTATTCACGTTGCACTATCTAATATATTCATCAATAGTGTTACACAAATTTCCAATTGTATATCTACCTCTTTTGCAGATCTGAGGCACGGTTGGTGGAGGATAACGGATGTCGACACGTTCCAAGAACTCCTCGAGCATTTACATTCTCGTGGTGTCCGCGAGAAAGAACTGAAACGCACAACATGGGCGACGATGGAGTCCTTCCTAGCCGTGACCGGTCGCATCAACGTTGACCCTGGCAATGTCACCGCCACGGATATGCAAGTGGAGCTAGACGATCCTAATAACATGCCTCCAATACCGAAGCCCGACAATCCGAGTAACTGGAGCGAGCAAGTCGCACTGCGCGTAGACGCCCAGCTTTTAGAGCAGGTGGAAGCTCTTGAAGACAAAGTGGCCAACGCCAGCATGCAGGTGAAGGGCTGGAAGCTGCCGCCGCGAGCAGGAACTGAGGAGGCCGATGAGATCGAGAAATTGAACGAAATGGAGAAAATTAGTGCGGTCGAGCAAGCAAGGCAAAGACTACTTTCGTTGGAGGCAGCTATAGAGAGGAGATACTTGAAGCCGCCTTTGGGCGTTTGGTAAGATCGTATCGCCTGATTAGCATCCTATTGTGTTCTTATTGCGATTGTTCTTAGTGTGACGGTTGTCTCGCGATTTGCATTTCGTCTAAAGAAGAGAGAAAGATGTCGCGCTTGTGGGAAATATCTCTTAGAAATGCTCATTGACGAGATGCATATATTTTCTCTCCGTTAAAACGCAATTCGATTGTAGTATGACGTCAACATCAGTAAGACAACCAATTAACATATAACTCTGAAGTAGGTGCGTCCCGGTCATTTTAACTTATTATATATTGGCATATACATATAACGAATTAATAACTGATAGAAAATGTAATAATTTATAATAATTAATGAAAAAATCTATTATATATTTGATTAATATTTGTTATCATTCCCTCGTTTCTTGCTTTCTTTTTATTTCTCTTCTTAAATTTATTTTTATTTATCGGAATATAAATTTATTAATAAAATATTTTAATAACATAATTATAAAAATTATAGGTGTTAAAATTGATAAAAATAAAAAGATGTATAAAATTAAAAAATACCGACGTATATCATATTTTTATATAGGAATAAATATGTTTTACTTTTTTATGCTATACAAAGAAAGACTAAAAAAAATTTAAGAAAATTTTTGGAATATTAAATATGGAATTTTTAATAAGTTAATGAATATAATTAGAAAACGTATAAATACGGTAAAATAACCAGGACATGACTACTTTTGGTTTAAATTAAAGCGTTCATAATTACGTGCATAATTCTCTTGCACGCAATTTACAAACGAAAACCGATTGCATTCTAATCGTTCTCTTATTTATAATTGCACGTAGCACGGGAGATCCGAACCTGGCAGCCCTCAAGGCGGAACAGGCGGCGGCAGCCGCAAACGCAAACTCGAATAACTCCGAACAGAATAGTCAGGCGCCCGTACCGCCAGAGGAAACGACGCCGCGTGGTCTCAACAACTGGCGGGAGGCGACCGCGCGTGCTCACACGTCGGCGCAGCTCGCCATGGCGCTTTACATGCTCGAGGCCAGCATCGCTTGGGACAAGAGCATCATGAAGGCTGTGAGTCTAACAACAGCTAGAAACTCGGTCTGCGTCAAGCTACGAAACCGCTGCGTCTCACTCAAAGCTACCAATCAGTACAATCAGCTATTGACTACTTCTCAGGCCTCTGTGGGTATTCGCACTAACTTACTAACCGAAATCGTCCTTTGCTACCCGCTCCTCCTAAAACGCCTTTGTCCCTTTCCGTTCTCAGTACGGCTCACAGAGAGCATATGTCGCTTCGAATGGATATCGACAGGAAAAGGGAGGAGGTTCGCTCGAGCCGACGACCGTGCCTCTAAAGCGATATACCTCTTCCACGCGACAGTGTTCTTGTAATACATCCGCTTTCAGTCTCATAAGAAGTTCCGATTGCATATATATATATATATATATATATATATATATATATTATATATTCACACATAAGTGCGAAGATTGTGGCAATGAAATTTGCATACATCCGTTGAATTTCGCTCTGTTCGCGCGACACTTTCTTTCTTCTTGCTTTCACGCGTCGTGTTTGTCAAATTTCGAATCAGTGGTATATCTCTTAGTTTACAATGTGGATGTAGTTGATAGATATTATAAAATGCAAATTGCGAATATCGCATCTTATTCATAAATTATCGAATTTATAGAGATGGTACATGAATCGCATCGCAAGCAAGCGTAAGAATGTACGTTCAATGGTGGTCAGAGTCTAACGTAACGGTTGCATGCAAAACTGCCGCTTACTATTTATTAGTTTGATCATTTTAGCGCATTTTCGTTTTCCCCATTCTTTTACGTTCGCCTGACAACAACGATTCCTCTCACATTTGCCTCTAGCAAATTCCCGAAAACAAGAAACCATCGCTGTTTTTATATTTATAATTATGATTCTTTTGCTTATGTCTCTCCGTGTGTTATCGCACGATTTGGTTACATATATTCATTATTAGACAGAGTTGGATAATAACTACGTAATTGGTTAAAAATTAAGTTACAAAGTTAATAACTTTTAATTTAACTTAGCTTTAATATTAGATGAGTTAACTCGTATTAAAAGTTGCTCGTATTAAAAAGTGGCAAAGGAATTTTCGTCTCGGTTTGACTTCTACTATCTGCCATTTCAATATTTAACGGTTGGTGTAGAGTGTATACACCTGTATATTTCTTTTACCACACCTGTATATTTCTTTTCATAATTAACTTTGAAATTTGATAAATTAATTTAATTTTAATTTAATGTTTAAGGTAATTTTTGTTTATGTAACGTTTAAATTAACTAAGTTAATTTTATAAGCTATTAACTTTAAACTTAATTAAAAAGAAATTAACTTATCCAACCTTATTATTACATTATCATATTTAGTATATTTTATGATAATATAAACACAGAACTTAAAGATGTTTTATATTTTATCCGAATATGTTACTATCAATAAGTTTTGTTTAATCAGACTTTTATGACGATATCCTCAATCATACGTCCTGTATTTTATCGATCAGATAATGCAAGTTACTTATATATAGAGTACATAAGTCTTTACAGCTTGATATCTTAGAAATTAAAAAAGATGTGAAAAAGATGTGAAGAAATTTCCAATATATAAAGTTGTATGATATCGAGAGGAAAACAGTAATATTTATTTGATTTTAGAATAATGTCAAAATCTGTGTCAAGGTCAACTTTAACTTTTTTAATGGAATCATGGTTTTTTTGACATAAATCGATTCCTCTAGTCACTCTGCGTACGAAAGTACTGGGATAAAATCATCGAAAAGTGAATGCTTCTTGAAATATTTTACATTTTATTTTATCAATATTCAATACAAAGTATCTCGTAAATTATTCATTTTTTCGATTACTTTATCTTAATACTTTTGTACGTAGAATGACAAGAAAAATCAATTGGTGATATTAATCTTTGCACACTCTGCTACATCAATAAATTTGTAAAATACACGGGATTTTATATTTTAAGTTTCTATATATGGATGTCCCGAAACTATCGGATGTTATTTTAATGGCAGATTCTTTAGAACATTTTAAGACAAAAACTTTCATACAAAAATGTCGAGGCTATAATAGTTTTCAAAGGGAAAGCGATGACATGGGAAGCGATTATATTTCACCAATAACAGGGCTGAGATTTCGCGCGCTCAGGCACGCCGAAATGACAAGTGATAAAGGTGTCACACGCCGTATAGAATAGTGGACACCTTCATGGTAATAATTGATCGACACTTTGACAGATTAAGTTGAAATATGTCATTTTTGTTTGAACCATATTTAAGATGCTTACAACTATTATTTGTATAAAAAATATACTAATACAATGCGTAGAGAAGCGGCAAAATATATTATGACAATGTTATTATACATTTATACAATGATCATAATATCTTAAAAAAGTGACATTCATAGGAGCACCTTTATCACTTGTCATTTCGACGTGTTTAAGCGCGCGAAATCTCAGCCCTATTATTGGTAAAATATAATCGTTTCCTGTTTGAAAATTATTATAGTCTCGACATTTTTGTATGATAGTTTTCGTTTTAAAATGTTCTAAAGAATCTGCCATTAAAATAACATCCGATAGTTTCAAGACACCCTGTATTTTTTTTACAGCAATCGATTTTACTGATTTTACCGATCCTAAATTCAAAAGTGTTAAGATAAAGCAATCAAAAAGTGAATAATTTACAAGATATTTCATATCTTGTATTGAAAAGTAATAGGATAAAATGTAAAATAATGCAGAAAGTATTAATTTTTCGATGATTTTTTTCTCAGTGCTTTTGTACGCAGAATGGCCAGAAAAATCAGTTTATACCGAAAAAACCATATGACGCCATTTAAAAAAATAGAGTTAACCTGGACAGGATTTTTTCCAAGATCATTCCAAAGTCAAATAAATATCTTTTAAAAACAATTTTTTTTCTTCTTCGATATCTTACAACTTCTATTCGAAACACTTTTACATCTTTCTTGATTTCTGAGGTATCGAACTGTAAAGAGTGGATCATCCTGTGTGTGTGTATATGTGTGTGTGTATATACAGAGTGTCTGACTCGTGTCCTACTAGAGCTAATATATAGCTAGAATAGATCAGAGTATATAATGAAATCAGTGTCTTTTTTTTAAACAACTACGTAAAACTTTGAGTTATTAAATAAAATAGATGGGCTAATCAGAGCTCGCGACGCGGCAGGCGGGACATACGGCTCGCCGCGGCCGGCGAAGAAAATGGACGATTGCTCGCGGATCTATCTCATAGACCCAGAGGTGGGAACTATGTCTTACATCTGACACTGTGTGATAGGCCCACGAACAATCGTCCATTTTCTTCGCCGGCCGCGACGAGCTATATGTCCCGCCTGCCGCGTCGCGCACTGTGATTAGTCCATCTATTTTATTTAATAACTCGAAATTTTACGTGGTTGTTTAAAAAAAGACACCGATTCCATTACTCACTCCGACCTATTCTAGCTATATATTAGCTTCGGTATGGTATGAGTTAGACACTTTGTATACAAGGTGTCTCGCTACTATCGTATATTATCTCTTAACCATTTCGCTGGCATTGACACACTTTTGCGTCAAATAAAGGATAAGCTAAAATTGGCATTGACGCATTAATGAGCATGTCATTTAATTTTTTTTCCGTTAGCAAGATTTTTATTAATCTCAGTCCCCAAGGGTTTTTGGGGTCGCTGATTTCAAATCTGAACTCTAAATTTAGAAATTCAAAATGGCGGACTCAATATGCGGACCAAAATGCGAAAAATGACTTGATTTTGATGAAACCTAGTATTCGCGAGTTTTTGGAGTCGCTATTTTCGAATCTGAGATTAGTTTTGTCAAATTCAAGATGGTGAATTTAATATGGCGGACCAAATGGAAAACTGACTTGATTTGGATGAAACTTGGTACTCGGGGATTTTTGGGGTCACTGATTTCGAATTTGAGATGAGTTTTGTTAACCACTTCGTTGGCAGAGGAAATTAGTCAGCATCAACTGACTAAAAATTGGCAAGATCAAAATACTGTTTGATTTTTATAAAAGTCAGTACTAAAGTACTTTTCGAGTCGTTTAATTACGATTTTGAGATGAAAATTTGAAAGTTTAAATTGACGGATCTAATGTGGTGACTAGAAGTCCTTTTTTATCTAGTTGACTAAATAATCTGAATAGATTTCACAGACTGATTTTTATCATCCTGATTCTATAGATTTCATAAATGAATTATTTTGTTGGATTGTTTAACTGAACAGACTAAGTTTTCCAATAAATCGTCTAATAGGATATACTCACTAACTAACCAACTCGAAAATGCAAAAATTAGTTTAATTCAAGGATGTGAATATCGTATATCGTTATTCTTGTGCCAAAGTGGCCTTGTATTACAGCAATAACAAAATTTGAATAATATGAAACTAAAATTATTTAAGACGCAGAAAACTTGGAGCCTTGAATTTGACAAAACTAATCTCAGATTCGAAATCAGCGACCCTAAAAACCCCCAAGTACCGAGTTTCATCCAAATCAAGTCACTTTTCGCATTTTGGTCGCCATATTGAATCCACCATCTTGAATTTCGAAATTTTGAGCTAAGATTCGAAAGCAGCAATTCCAAAAAACTTCTGAATACCAGATTTCATTAAAATCAAGTTACTTTCCGCATTTTGGTCCGCCACATGGAATCCGCCATTTTAAATTTTCAAATTTAGGGTTCAGGATCGAAATAAGCGACCCCAAAAATCCCTTGATACTGAGTTTGATGAAAATCTTGCTAACGGGAAAAAATAAAATGATGTGCACATTAGTGCGTCAATGCTATTTTTGGTACATCCTTTATTTGACGCAAAAGTGCGTCAATACCAGCGATGTGATTAAATTCTAAAAGTTTGAAGTTTCTCAAATTCGTATTCAGCGACTCGAAAAATACTTTAGTACTGACTTTTATAAAAATCAAACAGCATTTTGATCTTGTAATTTTTGATCAGTTGATGCTGATTTTCTCTGCTAGCGAAGTGGTTAAGGACAGATTCCTGAGGTAATTTGAATAAAAAAAATCCTAATGCAAAAATATCGAGACTATAATACTTTTCAAATTATAAACAATTAAAGTTGACGAATTATACTGGCTAAAGTACGCGTGCTCAGGTACGGTACAACATGCAATGGTAATGCACATGTCACTTCTTTTCCAAACATTGATACGGAAGTTCCATACATACCACAACGTATATAATAATCTGCCTTTTCTAGGCCTGTTTTTTGTAGCTGCACTAATACAAAAAGTTAAAGTAAGAAAACGTATATTTGTCTCACTTTAATGTATTGCAATGTAATTCAACAGTACAGCTACAAAGAACAGGCCTTCTATCATTTAAATAAACATATCGCAAATAATAACAATTTTGTTAAAATGTTATGAATAAAATATCACACAATACATTTATGAGAATCGATAAACTGTCACATGTTTGCCGTTTCTTTCAGAGATTTACAACTAATTTCATATTTTATGCAAATTCTCACTTATGTGCATGCACCTGTACCATTATGTGTTGTATCTGGAACTCGATTCTTGACGGTATGCGAATGAGATACGCATGCGAAAATGTATAGTTTACGTTACGTATACTGTAGATTTTCGCATGCGTCTCATTCGCACATCGTCAAGAATCGGGCCTCTGAGCGCGCGTACTTTAGCTAATATAATTGGTCAACTTTAATCGTTTATAATTTGAAAAGTATTATAGCTTTGACATTTTTGCATTAGGATTTTTTTCTTCAAATTACCTCAGGAATCCGCCTTTAAAAGATAATGCGGTAGTGGCGGGATACCCTATATACAGGGTGCTTCAGAAATAGTTGGCCAAACTTTAAGAGCATATTCCACTCATTGTAAGGATGAAAAAAAGTCATAAACATGGGTTCGGAAATGTTTCCTTTCTTAGTTATAAAGATTTCTTATTTACATTGTACGTATTTACGTCAGACGACATGTCTCGCTTCGACGTTTCATGAATTGTACTTCTATTCACCTTCTAAAGTAAACAAAGAGTTATTAGATAGGTCTGTATGGAATTGGAATGAGTCTTTATTTAAGCATTTAAGAATGAAGATAGTATTCATCAACATGGCAGCTTATTCTAACATCGAATTGGCAGATATTCACTACATGTATGGGCGAGCTAATGAAAACTGCAGAGAAGTTCAACGTTTCTATCAACAAATCTTTTCTCAAAGACGATGTCCTGCTAAAAATATCTTTAGTTTATCGAGGCAAACAGTATCTAAAAATGTTTATAACTTGAAAAGGAAGTGTTTCCGAACTCATGTTTATATTATTTTTTTTTCATTCTTACAATGAGTGGAATATGCTCTTAAAGTTTGGCCAACTATTTCTGAAGCACCCTATTTACATACACACATATACAGGGTGACACCGAACAAGGTGGCCAAACTTCGGAACCGTATTCTACTCTTCCTAAGGATGAAAAAAGGTCATAAACATAGGTCCGGAAACTTGTCCTTTTTGAGATATAAATACTTTTTTGTTTATGATTGAGTATTGTAGGAATGTTTAAAACTTACTTAAAGAAATTGCTAGAAATGATTTCTTTCTGCAACAATATACGCTTCACATCGACGTTGCAGAGACTGTCGAAGACGATCAAAAATCCCTGGTGTATTCTGAATTTTATTAAATTTTATCAAAAACCAAATTATTGCCGCATTTGATAAAATTCGAAATACACCAGGAATTTTTGAACGTCTTCGACAGTTTTTGCAACGTCGATGTGAAGCGTGTATTGTTGCAGAAAGAAATCATTTCCAGCAATTTCTTTAAGTAAGCTTTAAACGTTCCTACAATACTCAATCATAAACAAAAAAGTATTTATATTTTGAAAAAGACGAGTTTCCGGACCTATGTTTATACGACCTTTTTTCATCCTTAGGAAGAGTAGAATACGATACCGAAGTTTGGCCACCTTGTTCGATGTCACCCTGTATATCATTTATATCTATATATAGAGAAATCTTCGTTATTGTTTTTGTTTAAAAGATGCTTAACTAACAAATAGTGCTGAAGTCTTCATGCTACCTTAGCCACACGAGGGACCACTTTTCTCTCGTCCTTTTTAAATGAGGAGTTTATTTTTGATTGCAGAATTGCCAGTTTTGTCATAGTGGGGACAACGAAGATAAGTTGCTGCTCTGTGATGGTTGCGACCGTGGCTACCATACTTACTGTTTCCGTCCAAAAATGGAAAACATTCCTGATGGTGACTGGTGAGTGATAGCCGGCTTTCTAACTTAGTCCTCAACTTCTCCCCGTGTCAAGCTTTAAGCGAATAATATAAACGAATAGTCTCAAATTGTCATCACTCTTCCAGGTATTGTCACGAGTGTATGAACAAAGCGACAGGCGAACGCAATTGTTTGGTGTGCGGCAAGAGAGTGGGTAAAAACTTGGTCCTGTGTGAACTCTGCCCTAGGGCTTATCACACCGACTGCCACAATCCCGTGATGCCAAAAGTGAGTAGCTGCCAAACAACATAGTGTCCTCATCGCAAAGTTCAAGATTCTCTTTCTCTACGCGCGTCTACAATCTACGTATACTACACACAGTACACACACACACACACACACACACACACACACACACACACACACACACACACA